GATGTGTGGTCCTAGATAGTGCATAGGTGAAGAATTTAATGTCATAAGATATCTAGGGGATAAGTTGAATAAGGGAAAACAACCAAAAGTATGAGGGATTTTGATTCTTTTATTGGAGAAACTGAAATGAGAGATCTTCCTTTACCAAATGGTATGTTTACATGGTCCAATTGTAGGACTAGGACAGTGTGTAAAAGGTTAAATAGATTTTTGTTCTTTGTAGGTTGGGAAGATTGCTTTCCTTGGGTTAGACTAGAGGCTTTGTCTAGAGTTGTTTCAAAATATTGTCATATTGTTCTTGTTCATTGCAAGTTTAGTAGGGGTCCTTCTCTGTTTAGAATTGAGAATATGTGGGTGGAACATAAGAATTTTAGAGAGAGAATTAGAGAATGGTGTGGGGGGGGGGGGAGGAAGGGGTGCAAGGATGTAGATTTATGAAGAAACTTGAGGTGATAAAACAAAGATTGCAGGTGTGGAATAATGAGGTGTTTGGGGACATTAGGGAAGCAAAAAAGATTCATTTTGGATAGGATTGATGATTTGGATAAAATTGAGGAAGGAGAGGGCATTGACGAAGGGTTGAAAAGCGAGAGGAAAGAGCATAAGAATAAGTTTGAGGTAAGGAAGAGATTAGTTTTAAGGCAAAATTCAAGGGCCAAGTGTGTAAAAGAAGAAGATAATAATACAAAATTTTTCCATAGAGTGGCAAATGAAAACGGGGTGAGGAAGTTTATTGATAAATTGGAGCTAGATGATGGGTTGACAATTGAGGATGAGGGAGCCATTGAGAGGGAGATTATTAGGTTTTTTGTAGAGTTATATTCGGTTCATGATGGTCCTAAACCTATTTTGAGGGGTATTGTGTGGTGTCTTATTGGGGAGTTGCGATGGGCAATTTGGTGAAAAGAAATATACTTTGGTTGGGAAATGACTGTTAAGGTTTTCCTTGAAACAAGACCCCTTATGGCACGCCGTTATTAAGAGTAATAAATATGGGTTACGGGCTAATGGGTGGGATACTAATAGGGTTGAAAGGGGTTCTTTTCGGAATCCATGGAGGTTTATTTCTCAGAGGATCAAGTTCACTATTGGAGTGGAAATCAAGTGCATTTTTTGGAGGATATATGCGTTGGGGAGTCATCTTTCTCTAGTCTCTTTTCACGTTTGTATCTTGTCTCTGGCTATCATAACACTTTGGTAGTATCTATGGTCTAATAATATTCCATTTTGATTTCTTGGGATTTCGAATTTCATAGAAATCTTAATGATAGGGAATGTTCAAAATTGATAAATCTTTTCTCTATGATAGACTTGATTTCTTCCAATTTTAAGCAATCCCTCTTTCTCATGTTTCACCATATAGATTACCTATTTTTCGGTTTCTTCCTGTAACTCCCTTCAGTCCCTTGAGCTTGGGTGGGCGTGGTACTATAGTTCTTCTAGCCTACCATTATGTCGTAGCATTAGCTTATCAACGGGTCTTATATTAGATATATACAGCACTTTCTTTGACTCATGCCTTGGATTTAATAATGTTTCTTTAGTTCACAATTCAATGGATAAAAGGTATCGGATTGGTAATTCATCGGGATTTTTCTTTTGTAAATCGTTTTTTTGATTCTTTTATTGATAATCCTCTCTTCTATTATTCTATCATCCATCATTGAGAATTTGGAGGGAAAAGTGCCTTTAAAAGTGCAAGTTTGTGCAGGAATAATTTCTCATGATAAAATTAGCACAAATGAGGTCTTTCAAAGGAGGAAAGACAAAATTTTTGTTTTCTACCACAATGGTGTGTTATGTGAAGTAGTGATAGCAAAAGTGTGGACCACTTATTTTTGCATTGTTTAGTAGCGTGATCACTATGGAACAAATTTTTGATCTTATGGGCATTATGTGGGTCACTCAAGGATGGCAATGAACTGGGGCGGGGAAGAAGGACGTTTGGCTTTATCCTCGTACCTGCTTAAAAAAAATTTCGTCCACCTTCGATCCATCCCCATTAGCGGAGGAAGTTTTAATCCCTGTCCCCGCCCTGCGGGTAAATTCTAATCCCCGCCCCCGCCACTCGTGCCCCTGCCTTGACTTTGACTGATATCAGAAGATAACTGAAAAATTCAAGTGACAAACCAAATTCGAAGCAATAATCAAGCAACAACCAGATCCAAAACAATAATCAAGATAATACCATAATCATGCAATAACCAGATTCAAAGCAACAACGGAGAGCAAATATGTAATATATATAAAAATAAAATGAAAAAATATAATAAAATGTCAAGAAAGCCAACCCATATAAAATTTAAGCAAAAACAAGCAAAAAATTACTCAAATCTAATAAAAAAATATGCTATAAGACAGATCTGTGGGTTTTTCACCGTAGAAGACAAACTCAAGTCATTGGCATATAAGCCTTGTAGTCGTCGGAGGTGAGCGGGCCGGTAATAGCTAGGCCTAGATGTTGAGGGTAGGGGTTGTTGAGCGAAGCTATGTGATAAACAGTCAGATGGGGAAAGATTAAGGAGGATGGGGAGAGAAAAAAGCAAACAGAGATGGACAGACCAATGTTATTTAAGGCGTAAAGCAAACCTAAGCGACCAAAGCTCCTAAAGCTTAGGTGAGAAGCGAAGTGAAACGCTTCACCAAAGCGAAACAAACAATTAAAAAAAAAAAGTAAATATTTTAGTTTAATTACTTCTAAATATCTAAGTTATAATTTTATAAATACTAAATATTTAAATGCAAGCAAACTATAAACATTTACAGAAAATCAGCATTCAACATTATACAAAATCAGCACTACTATCAGCAAAATCAGCATTATCAAATATCAGAATCAACAGAAATAAGTAGTACATAATCAACAAAAATAAGCAGTACAGAAAATAAGCAAAAGCATTACAGAAAATCAGCATTAAATATTACAGAAAATTAGCAAAAGCAGAAAAAAAAAAACAGAATCAGCAAAATAGGCATTTACAAAAAATCAGCATCAAACAAAGAGAAGTAGAAGGAGAAGCAGAATCAGAAGAGTAGAAGATGTAGAATCAGAGGAATAGAAGATGCAAAATCAGAAGCAGAAAAAGTGAAGAAGTAGAAGAGAAGCAAAACTAGAAGAAGAAGTAGAGAAGAAGAACCAGAAGCAAAAGAGGAGAAGAAAGAGAGAGGACGCAGAATCAAAAGAAGAATCAGCAGAAGAAGAGAACAGGAGAGGAGAGAAGCAAATATACCTTTGCTGTTGCAGGAGAAGTAGCAGGAGAAGCAACAGGTACTGTATTTTCTATCGAAAAAGAAAAAGAAGAATTAAAAAAATAGAAGAGAAGATGAGGAGGAGAGAAATAGAGAGAAGCAATATCAGTGTGTGGTGTTTTTTTCTGTCGAAGAAGAATACAGAGTAGCAGATGCAAAATTGTGGAGCTAGAAGAAGAGGAGAAATAGAGAAGAAGAGAAACAAAAGAGAGAGAAAGAAAAGAAAGAGACAAAACTGTTAAGTATGGGCTAGCGAGGAAGGAGCAGCAGCAGTCGTCTGACCCTTTTTGGCAAAATTAGGGTTTGGGGTGTTGTATATATTGGGATAAGGGGAGCAATTAGGTGTATGGGCATCTCATAATTTTGTTCCAATTGTTCTAATCCAACGGTCCATAATAAAAATAATCAGCGGTCCATAATTAAAAAATAAAATAACTTTAAAAACTTAACTAAGGCACTTGCTTTTCTCGCCTTTTGTTGAAGCGAGAAGTGGTCGATTTTCTCGCTTTTTAATCGCTTCAGTCATGTTCGTTTCGCCTTGGTTTTTCAAGGTGAGACAACCTCGTCTCGCTTCACTACTTGCTTAGGCGAGCTTTTCATAACACTAGGACAGACGATGATGGGTTAGGTGGGGAGGAGAAAAAAGAAGAAAGAAAAAAGATAAAGAAAGACAAAAAAGTGAGGATCCATGTGTTTGAATTTTGAATTATAACTAGGTAGTCAGATTAGGGTCTGTCCTGTTTTTTGCATTATATTTTATGTATAATATACATATATATATTGTATAAATTTAACACTTGTCCTATTATATATGCATATTATTAATAAATATATATATATATATATTTATTTAATAGGGCGGGGACGGGGACGGGGACGGGGACGGAGGGAGGGTCAACTCATCCCTGCACGGGTTAACACGAGTATCCCCGAATACTTGTACTATCCAATTTGTATAGTCCATTACCAGTCAAAATGGGACTAATTTGGATGGATTCTCGTTTTTCCTGGTCCACTGTCATCCCTAATCGCTCCAAAGAATCTAGCATCTATGTTTTGTATGGAAGGTATGAGTTTTTGGGAAAATAGTGAATGAAAAATCATTTGGCATTATGTTTTCTTTGTTACATTATGAGAAGTTTAAAAGGAAATGAATGTGAAAATTTTTGAAGATCAATGTAAAAACTTTATGGTCGTTCAGAAAGGCTTCATTTTTTGGCATCATTTTGGGCATCAATGTCCAAGGAATTCAAGATATTCCTCTCTTTTGTATTAGAAAAAGTTGGAAAGCTTCATGTGGCTTGTAATATACTTTTGTTTTATTTTCTATAAGCAGGGATATGTTTTTGTGGTGGACGGGTCCACAATTCTTGTGGTTTTCTTGTAATGTTTCCTTTGTTTTATTAATAAAAAGTTTGTTTCTTATCAAAAAAAAAAAAGTTATGTGGTGAAACTCTCCGTCGGAAAAACCTTGCAGTCCTTACATGATCTATCTAAGAAACGTATTTGCGATCATCAAATCGTATGCAATAGCAAAATCTAAGATAGAACCTCCAAACTGTTCCTACCTCTAAATTCATGTCTACCATGTGCCCCCTCATATCCCTCTCAATCTTTCCCTATGTGGCCATTAAAGTCTCCTCCTATGTATAATCCCTCTCCTACACAATATTCCATATATAATCCTCAACAAACCAAAAATAAATGTTAGTAAATGAGTATACTCACACAATTATTTTCCTGGAAAACAATTAAATTGCATCAAGGACTTTGATGCCAGCATTCTTGTCCCATTCCTCAGGTGGGGCAGCATCTGCCATTATCTTTTCCTGACCACGCCAAAGTATCTGAACCGAGAAACTAGATATTAGCCCAGACAAGTCTCAATAGAGAACAAAAAAGCATAGTTGATGCAATCCATAAGAAGCTCAAGAAGAGACAAAACACAAAGACATGATGAACTGTGAAATTTGGCTAGCAATCAAGACAAAGACTTATATAGAACCTTGCAATTGCTTTATTTGAGTCTTATTTTTAATTACCTTAAGTTAGTTTTCTAGTGTTTAGTAATTTATGTGTCTTTTTTATACTTGTAGAGTCGAGGGTATTTTTGTAAATTTCAAATTTTCTGGAATGAGTCATAGTTCGACCCATGGATCATCTTTTGGTTCAAATTCTAGTGTTAGATGTTCAAGAATTTAGAGTCCTAGTTCTAATTTATGTTAGTTTTTGGAGTTTTGGAGCTTTAGGAAATACTTAGAACTCTATATAGTCAATGATTTTTTAACAATGAGATAGAGAGAGATATTTTCAGAAATTTCAACAATTAAATGCTTTTTGAATTGTGTGATACAATTCTAACCCTAGGTGTGATCCCTAAGGAACCCCATATTCTCTATTCTTCTACGTTCTTCTATTAATGTTCTAAACCCCATAATCAGATCTGGAATTTTATTCTTTATATCCTTAAAAGTGGTCTACATAACCCTACCCTTTTACCAAACAATCATCAAACCAGAACCCATAAAGTAGCACATCCTACCCCAAAGTACTGTTCAGGAGTACTATTCATAGCATTGAACAGTGCTTAATTTTCGGGTCCACTGCTGTCCTACATCAATAGCACAGGTTATCTCTTACCTTATCAATGACACCAAATTCCTTAGCTCTCGTAGAATCCATGTAAAATGGTCTTTTCATCACGTCAGCAACAGTCTCTATTGACTGGCAAAATAGCAATTCATATGAAATTAGTGCTCATATAACTCTCTTGTTTCATAAACAAAATCAAGAAAAATACAACTGAAGTGTCATACTTACATTTTCTGTATGCTTAGCAATAAGTTCGACAAGGGTATCCCTGTTAATTATTATCTGTAGCAGTAAATATGTCAGTAAATCTTTAGTCTAATAAATTCCAGTTAACAATTGTCAAGCTTGCTGATACAGAAACCAAAACCAGAACCCCCCCCCCCCCCTTTTCTCTTCTTCCTCCCCAAAAAAAAGGGGGAATGAGCTCCCCATGCCAAGCCAAAAAAAGGAAAAACTTATGAATGTGCAATGTAGCAAATTTGTTACAGAGAAGCACGAAAAGAAATATTTATAACAGTATAGATTTCCTTTTACAACTGACCAAATGAACACTGAAATCAAACCACAATTTCAAATCAGCGAGTTAAAACTCGTGTCATAATGCTATTGATCTTTGCCATAAGGCCAATAGAAATGCCAAGAAAATTTTACGAGTTTACCATACCATACCCAAAAGTTCTCCTTTAATACAAATTGAAATGCTAGAGAGCGACCAAATGAGTTCCAACTAACCTCCTTTGCACGAATAAGAACATCACTGGCCGGCATTAAACCAGATGATGGGACTCGGGGCTGTTGAATCATGGCTGGAATACAACTTGTGTGAGCATTGTAAACTTCAAGCAATACCTTCTGCAGCAAAGTAAACCATACCTTTGGCATGTGGCATCATAAACCTCTTGCCCTTAGTTCCTGCAGCAAGTAAGAGACATGCCTGACCTATTGCAGCTCCAACAGCAACCGTATGTATCTGCATGTGAGATTTATAAAATAGGGAGTGAGACAGACAAAAAAAGCTAATATTGAAATCAAATGTGTTCTACTGAAATCATATCATGTATATGCTTATGAAACTAGTAAACTAGGTAGTGAGACTCAGAAGAAAAAGCAAATATAGAAATCCAATGTTTCCTACATGAAATAATATCATCAGACACCAGTGATGAAATGACCATTTATTCAAGTAAAGTAGCTTAATCCTGAAACTCTTTGTAGATGAAGCAAAAATCTTCTTCTTTAGGGATAGAGATGTCAAGCCCGTGTTTGGTCCTAGGAATCGAAGGAGCTTATTGGGTTGGGCATAATATGAACCAGAGATTTCTTATTGGGGCAATCTCTAAACTTTTGTCTGACGTATGGATGTACGAACTAAAAAACTGAATCATATTAATGTCTGCTAAAATTCATGGTACAAAAAAACAACTAAAATGGGCTGACAGACCCACTGAACAAGGAGGTCAAGCCAATCCAAGAAAAGTAGATGAAGTTTGAACCTAGAGATTGACATTAATGTGTGTTACACGCAAGGATCAAAATTTCGTTTCGAAGTACCGTTTCGGTCAACTCAAAAATAGAAACGTTTCGGAAACATTTCGGAAACGCAATGGAAACGCAGAAAAAATATGGAAACGCATAGAAACACAAATGCAATCCATTAATTTATAAAGATATGCTAAATAATTTATTAATTCAACATATTTATTAGGTTAACATCAATTTATACAAGAATAAATTTAAATTTGAGGGAAAAAAAGGCTTGACTTGAGGCGAAAATCACTTAAATTAGTTTCAAACACTTAATTTTTATGAAATAAACACATTTTTACATAATATTAAGGTCTTATAATACACATGAAATGCTAATGAGTACATACTTACATGGTTACATCCATTCCCCTGTGGAGTGTCGAGCAGGCTCATACATCGGTGTAGGCTCTGGGTAGCTACTTAGAGAAACTCCATATGTGACATAAATATGATGACAATAGTTACTCCAAATCATATTATTACGGTAATATAATCCAATTAATAATACTATTTTATTATAATACTAATAATGAAGGGTATCAAATTAAATTAATGATACTTATGTATACTTAAAAATTAAATGTAATTGCAGTGGGTATTAAATGTAATTACAGTAGGTATTAAATATAATTACATTAGGGTATTAAATGTAATTGTTAATACTTATAACAAAAAAAAAAGCAAAAAACTTGCACAACAGTGAGGTATTAAATATAATTACAGTATGTATTAAATATAATTATAATGGGTATTAAATATAATTATAGTAGGGTATTAAGTGTAATTATTTATTCTTATAACAAAAAAATTATAAAAGACAGAAGAGCAGTGGGAATTAAATGTAATTATAGTGGGATATTAAATATAATTATAGTGAGTATTAAATGTAATTACAGTGGGTATTAAATGTAATTATAATGGGGTATTAAATGTAATTATTCATAATGAACCGAATATATCACTGTTTTGTCGAAACGGTTCGAAACAATGCCGTTTCGACCGAAACGGTCCGAAACAGTACCGTTTCGACCGAAACACTGGAATTTTGTGATTCAACTACTGTTTCGTTTCGGAGTGTTGAAATTCCGAAACGTTTCGGACGTTTCGGACGTGTCGACACGACATTTTGATCCTTGGTTACACGCAAGCCCATCTTCATGAAAGGTTGGAAAGAGAGTCAGGGACAATGAAAACAAGGGAAAAGGAAACCTCAACAGCTCTTGAACCAACTGGACAGCTTATCTGGCTGCCATCACAGCCAAAACCAGATCACTACTAACTCTGCCAGAAAACAAATGCACCTCCACAGCCCAGCATTGCCATTACCCCAGGAAGCACGGATACTCCACCGAAGGTCGCTGTGGTGGTGTCGAACACTTGTCCGACACGGATACGCGTTGGACACGGACGGACACGTGTCTGACACTTCCACAAGTGTCCCGAACAATGATCAAGCTAGTTTTGTAGATGGATACGGGATGACACGGGAGGGATATGGCTACAAATCAAAACCCAAAAAAAAAAAAGAGAGGGGTAGAAGACATTACAGACCTGAGATCAGCCACAAATGTCATCTTCCTCTACTTATACAACTCACCACAAACCTGAGATCAAACAAGGGTACTTTGGGATTCTTCTTCCTGATGCTTCTGGAGGCTTGATGCCATCAAATCGCTCATAGATCAGCTTGGTGTGATCGGTTCTCTCTCCGTGTGCGATTGGTGTGATCGGCTTGCTCTAGATGCTCGCAGCATCGTTTTCTCTCACTCTCTGTGCAATTCATGTGATCGTTTTGCCCTAGAGTACTTGCAACATCATTCTCTCTCTCTCTCTCTCTCTCTCTCTCTTCGTTATGCTGGTTTGGTTTGGTGTGCTGTGGTGTTCCCGAACAATTAGACTTCTTATTAGTCTAGCCTACAGCCCATTACGTTTAGCTCTCCCCAATTCACTGCTCATAACATTTAGCCCACTTATTAAATTTAATATTAACTCATTTGTCTAGTTATAAAATATTAATTAATTCCACAATTTTATTATTAATTTTATTTTATATAAAAAAAATATTATATTATTTTAATTAGCCGTACCCGTGTCCTATTTTTAAAATTTTGTCATATCCCGTATTCGTATCGTATCGGATACGACACTCATGTCCGTATCCATGATTCCTAACCATTACCCATTAAGATTCTGCCATCTATTTGGCACTCTGCATCAATATCACCTCCAAAATTGTTCACCGGTTGCACTACAACAAGTTGCTATCTTCTCACCATATTCACTGCATCAACCACCACTGTCACTCCACAACCACTATCACTATTGCCAACAGTTATCAGCACCATGAGACTACGGCTTTGCCTAGTCTTTCATCTTGTCACCAATAACCACAATCACACGTTGCATTCTGTCTGCTCCTACCAAACAGGCATTTTCACCTGTCCCCCCCTCCCAAAAAAAAACCAAAAAAAAAAAAAAAGCCCAGCACACACACACTCTAACACAGCAGTCATCTTATCAATGTCCTTAGGGTCCCAATAAAGATACTACATGTTAGTATGAAGAAAAAGACTGCTAATTCATAGAATAACATGTGCAGGTGTGCAAAATCAGTTTAATTGAGAACTTCAACTTCTGCTTTTCCCTGAGTATGAAGTCATGATTCAAAGATTCAATCCTTGATTGGCTACAAACTAATTTTTTATCGAACACAGTTTTCAACCAAACCAAGATGTCTATTTGTACACTTAACCAATTGTAAGACACACGTCTAATGGTGGGAACATTTTTCCTTCACGTTGACATGTGCAAAATTTTAAGGAGCCAACACACTATGAGCTGAACCACAGGCAAAACCTCCTCATGGGAACATAATTAGTATGCAAACATTAGAGACCAATGTACAGAAGACCTGACCTCATTCTTTAATTGCATCATAGCATCATAAATTGCAAAACCTTCTGTCTCCATCCCAACCTGTATATTGAGCATTTTAAATCAATCAAATAACACAAGCAAAATAACCATAAAAAGGGAAATTGAGATCAAAAAATCAACACATAACAAAAAAACAAAACTATGTCAAAGAAAGGAACATAGGTAAGCACTGTAAGAGTCTGTGGGTGCCCATGAGAGGCAAAAACATTGCTTCAGCTGGTTTTTGCTTTTCAAATGCAAAATATTGTTAACAGCTGAAACACAAAAAATTACCACCGAGATGGTTTGGAAACAACCACTACCAATTACCTAGAGTGGACCTCCCTGGGGCTCAGGAATACGTTCAGAAAAAATTTCCAAAATGACAAGAGGAAGGGAGAAAACGAATAAAAAGAAGACACAAAAAGGAGGAAGACATAACAATATCAAACCAAATGAACAGGGAGCTAGGAGGACAGGGTGCCACTGAAACTTCACTAACTATGTCATCCAGCCTCATACAGCAGCTTGAGGTTGGCTTGTTTGGTTCATGCAAAAGCCTGCAGACCCTCTTTTAAGAAGACTAGTCCAAACCATTCACAAGATTATCAAAGCATCTACAGTAAACAGCCTCAAACAGATACTGCACATGTAGTTTTAAAATACTTTTAATTAACAGTTGTACATGTAAAAATTAGTCCACCAGTTGAAAAGCCGAAGTTGATGGCACATATTTATAATCAAAATTCCTAAATGATCAGTTTTACCAATACAACATCCGATATGGAACTAAAAAATAATATAGAGAACAGACTTGCAGGGCTTTTAGCTTAGTTTAAGTAAAAATTTTAGCTTCAGAAGATCTTACCAATTTAAAAAAAAATTGGGAACTGAATCAGGTTACAGGTCTTGTTTTAATGGATCGAGTCTGCTGGACATGAGTTTTTATGTGACCAAGTAGTATAGTCAACTAGAACTGTCGCTTTCTTGTAGTCAAACAAAGGGGCCAAGTTTAATTGGCCATCAAGTCTGAATTAGAAGAAGTCAGTGGAAGATTTCCTGAAAAATTCAGATTAGTGTGTTCCTTTTATATCTCTTAAACTTGGGCACCCTAGGTGATGGAGATCGTGTAAGAATTGGATAGATATTATAGATTAATTATGATAATTATTTAGATATTTTTAATATTTAGCTTTTAAGTAATTTCTTTTAACTTTTAAGGGTTTAATTGTCATTTTGATTATTTATTTATTTTAGAGTTTGTGATCTCCTTTTATATATAGGATTTGTGAATTCCTTATATATATAGGGGATACATATTTGTTGAGAGACTAGACTTTGATTATTGATTATTGATATTGAATCTTCTTCCTAAAATTCTCTCCCTATTTTCATCCCCTTCTTCTTCTTCTTTTCTCATCCCTTTTTTCTTCCCTTTTCATCCCTAATTTTTCCCTAATACGATTTACATCAATTTGGTATTAGAACCCAACTTTGATTCAAAAAAAAAAAAATTTAAAAAAAAACGAAGTTGTTCATCGCACTGTTCATCTATGTACTGTTCATCAAAAAAATACTGTTTATACAAAAACGCTGTTCATCAATAAAAGATAAAAAAAAGAGGAAACAAAATTTTTTTATCATATTTTGTCGCTGTAATAGTAGCCTAGTGGGTTAAGTTTTGAACCAAAGTTTCCAGCAGATTCAACAAATTACAGAAACATCTCCATAAGTCCCAAAAATTGCAGACACATCTCAAAAGATCTTCAAAAATTACAGAAACACCCCAGAAAATTCCACAAGTTGCAGAATCACTACTAGAAAATTTCAGAAATTATAGAATCACAGTTAGAAGTTTCAAAAATTGTAGAATCTTCCCCCAGAAGTTCCAGAATTACAAAAAACATTCCCAACAGATCCATAAAATTGCAGAATCATTCCCAAAAAGTTTCAGAATTTCCTCTTGATTATGGTATGCATACTCCTATAGAAATTTGAAACTGATATTTTTATTCATTGAAAAATTAAAAAAAATTGCAAAGAATCCAAATTATTTGTCAATTACATTCTTGAACTTGTTTTTACGTCATTCCCTTGTTCCAAGAGTCACTCATGAGTTTCTCTAATACGTATGTTTCAAGAATCTCTCCTCAATGTCATCATCATAAGAAGTCAAAGAATGTTTATATGGAGTCAACCCATATGATCAAATGAATCAAAGATCCTTCTACATTTTGTGGTACTCCGGATCCCAATTAATTCTTGAATTGGTTAGCTAATTTAGAAGAATATTTTGATTGACATGGCATGTTGGATTCTCATTGCGTCCGTTTTGCTAAATTGATGTTGGAGGGTTCCGCCAAGAAGTATTGGCAAACAATCCAAAGAAGCTTAGACCCCTCAGGAGAATCACCTATCACTTGGGTTGAAATGAGATATAAATTGAAAGAGAAGTATTTGCCTACTTCCTATATAGATCAAGTTTATGACCAATGGCTCAATCTTAGACAACATTCTTCTAGTGTCTCTGATTACTTTGCCCAGTTTGATTATCTCATGTACTTGTGTGACATTGTTGAAGAACTTTGAACAATTGATCAGTTTATTTTTGGGTTGAGACAAAAAATTAGTAGGGAGGTTAAACAATACACTTTTAATACGTTAGTTGTAACCTATCAATATACTATAAAGGTTGAGAGATTTCATAAGAAATCCAACTATACCTTGATGAGTTCTTAATCACAGCCTGCTGATAGGACATCTTTCAATTTTAATTCCATCACATATGAGTATCATGATTACTTAAACGATGTTCATGTTGTTTCTGCATACTTTCCTAATTCGAATGTGGCAAAGGATTTAAATATTTTAGTGTCAGATAAAGAGAAAAATGTTACTCATATGGACTTCCAACTCCCTCATTTAGTTTCATCATATCAGAGTCTTCTTCCTTTGCACCCACAAGAGTCCATTTTGAAAGAAAGTGTGTGTGAGTCTTTGTTTGTGTCAATTCTTGAACCATCATTGATCTTGAAAATTGTAGAAAAGTCTGTTGAGTCTACACCTATGCAAGATATCAAACCAATCGAGTCATTTATTACAGAATCTAATAGTGACTATTCTATGTCTACTTGTCCAAGTCATCATGACTTTGTTACAGATTCTTCCCAATCTGAGATTGTTAACATTGTTCTGGATTCTGCCTCACTTAAGAGTGTTAACTTTGATTCTTTGCCTACTATCAAGTGTTCAATTGAGTCTGTACTTTCTTATTTTCAGCACCAGGGTGTTATAGTTACTCCTTTGTCACTGATGTCTTGTACCATTGAATGCCTATTGTTCAAATCTAATGGAAATTATTTTGCTATTCTTGAGTTTGGATCTAATGCTTATTTGCTTAATTTTTCATTGAATGTTAGTATTAGTCCAGATTTTTATTAGGAGGACATGTTGCTTAATCGAGGTACTCCAGAACCTCCTATTTTATTCGCAGGTATTCATACAGATGGAGATTCTTGTATTTATCCTGGTCGATGGAAAGAAGTCGATGGTTCTTTCATTCTAGATGAGGCATTATGTCATCTTCATCTTACTCTATTTAAGTACTTCTACTTTAAAGACTCTCTGGAGGAGAGTTTTTTTCAACCGGGAGAGAATGATGGGAATCGTATAGGAATTAGATAGATATTATAGATTAATTATGATAGTTATTTAGATACTTTTAATATTTAACTTTTAAGTAATTTCTTTTAACTTTTAAGAGTTTAGTTGTCATTTTGATTATTTATTTATTTTAGGGTTTGTGATCTCCTTATATATATAGGATTTGTGAATTCCTTATATATATAGGGGATACATATTTGTTGAGAGACTAGACTTTGATTATTGATTATTGATATTGAATCTTCTTCCTAAAATTCTCTCTCTATTCTCATTCCCTTCTTCTTCTTCTTTTCTCATTCCTTCCTTCTTCCCTTCTCATCCCTAATTCTTCTATAATACGATTTACATCACTAGGTGCAATGGAGCCTTTCTTTTGCTGGACATTTCTCAAATTACAGGTCAGAAACATAATGCATAAGCTTTGGCCTCCAAGTTGCATCAACAAAAAACAATGGCTTATGTTCAAAAGAGGATATCACCCTCTGTCTCCCCCTCTGTGTGTGTGTTGTGTGTTGTGCGTGTGTGTGTGTGTGTGCGCTTCAAATACATTATAATAACCACATTAGGTTAAGCTCTTCCGCCAGTTAGACACATTGTCCCACCAAATGAAAAGTCGGTCATTTCAATTTTCTTCAAATAAGTTAATTTGTAGCCTTGTAATGCTATCAAGCTAAAAGTTAAAACTTAAGATGAATGGAAGACAATGGAAAGATTATAAAGAAGATCATCAACCCAAATAAAAGTAACCCCACTAGTGAAGAATTAACAATGAGGGGAAAAAAAAGAATGATAAAAAACCTTTAATTCGATCCTAGACACGAACAACAATGGGAAAGATCCTTACAACATTTTCCTTCTCATTGATCGATTTTACTGGCACAAAGCTACAGAAAATTCTGTTACTATGATAACTACAAACAACAAGTGTGCTATTCATGCATTGGTCTTCACCAAATTGCCTCATAATTAAATTTTTGGATTACAACATTGTGTTATGCAACCACCATGAGGTAATATAATCTATGAAAAACATGCATACACGTGCAAGTTCTTAAATGAGAATTGAAATGGTTGTCTCACAAGCAACTTCCCGAACTCCAAATGAGGATAGAAGATGGTGTGCTGAAGCACATTAAATCTGTGGTTTTATGCTGACATTCAAGAGTGTTTCCCAGCAAACAAATCATGGCGAGTATAGCACTTCTTACCCAAAAAAGTACAATGAGTAATCACACAAAATAATGTTTGTCCAGCATAAAATAGAATTAAGGAAAAAGTTTAAATCTTTGCCACTCTTAACCTATGAATTCACATTCATTTTCTCAATATTATTATACATTCAACAGTCTGAGAAGAGTGATGCAGGATAAGAAAAGGAAATAAAGTAACAATAAAGTTGGGATTTCAAGCTTTCTTATTTTTTCCCTATGATTCATACATTTTATAGATAATCTTGTGGACAATGATGCCAGAAAAGAAAAGCAAATAAAGTATATCTTGAACAAATGGCAGGCAAAGAAAACCCCCTAGTCAACCCCAAAAAAAAAAAACAATCCTAAACAATTTATCACCCCACTTCTAGACAAGGGAATATTACATTAAATATGTTTGTTTTTAGACTACACAATGAGGGAAATTGAACAAACAACTAAATAAATATTTAAACCTCATTATAGTTTGCAATTTCTTCACGGGGACGGACAATCCTATTATTCTGCTTTCAATATCATCAAGTTCCATTACAGTGCAGCACTGCAGGAATGGAGGATCCGAGGATGCACAATAAATAACAGTATGCAAGCAAGTTTAAGTAAACAGCTGAACATTTGAGTGAAAACATGACAAGAGCACACTTCACAAATGATGTAAAGCTGGCCATATAAATTATAAGAATGCTTCAAATAATTGAAGGCTCAACATTTGAGGGGGAATATGGCACTGCCAACAAAGAAGCACTTGAAGAGAACACAGCTCATTAAATCAATGATAGGCTCACCGTTTCACCATCATCACGAGTAGTTCCGGTAGAATTTATATAAAGGTATATCGGCTCTTTAGGATCCATCCACTGCAAATACATCAATTCTGCAACCACAAGCTCTGTGACTGCTGGCACCAGCTGATAAGAAACAGATTTTTAATTCAGAAGCATTGCGCACTAAACATATAAGAATATTTGCCTGTAAAGTGATTTCTCAACATATGCACTTAGGATGTGTTTGGCTTGGGTAGTATTGGGTGGGATTAGAATAAATTAATTCAGTGGTAATTTAATATCACGTTTAGATCAAGTTATAGAGCCTGGTCTTAATAACCTTATTTGAACACACCTGATGCTATAGTGCCATATAATTTAATGGAACACGAGGGTAGTAAAATTCAAAATGACCAAGCCACAGCCCACTCATAACATGCCAAGAGATGCATTAGCATAGGGTGTTACTGTTTTTTAAAAGTTAATACTATATATTTATCTCGCACCAAACATTGAATTTGTATAAACACAAGAGACCCATACCTCATCCAAAATTCCAAACAGGGATAACTAGGATAGGATAAAGTGGAAAACCAAATATTACCAATGGATTAAATTAGAACCAATTGTCCAGTCTCATCCCATGCTGTACCAGAACCAAATACATCCTTAGTGCTCTCTAATTTATCCTATAGGAAAGGCAACATAAAATACATTTAAACCTAACAGAACATAAAATTTGGGGCGGAAAGTGGGGTAGGGGCCAAATGGCCACCACAAGCATTTGAAAAATAAGGTAGTGTTTCTATGCTTTCCAATTGGTAACTCATATTTGAAAACTTCGTTCAATTCAAAAGTGGACAATAGGCTTACACTATGCCAAACGAGTGAAGAATATCAAAACACCTACCGGCATGCCAATGTAAACAATTCTACCATGGAGAAGCAGCGAAGGCAAGTCCGGTGGAGGTCTCCTTGGCCTGTGCTCATTGTAAGAAACTGATCTTTCCACCTAATAATTCAAACAACAAAGAACCATAACCAGCAAAAAAATCATAAAAATCTAACATCCAAACAAACTAATGCCGCGTTAGGCAGCACGGAAAGGGCCCTAGTGGATTTCGATCATTTGAAAATTAAATAATCCAATTTTTTTCCCAATTCTCTCCAATTGAAATTCCTAGGCGTCAAGCCGCCAAACGCAGCCTGAACTTCAATACATGGATGGAAGAAATGAAAAAGAGATGTTACCTGGGCAGGGGTAGCCATGAGCTTGGGAGAGTCGAAGAGGTCCAAAAACGGCGGTGTATCAGAATTCGAAGGGCGATTGAGGAGCCTTTCAGGCGAAGTGGCGGCAACCGAAGCGAGCTTCGAGAGAAACGGGTCTTTATGGTTTACTGGAGGCATCGGAATTTTGGCACCGTTTCTGCTATTAACTGCACGAATAGTCTCAAGACTGCGTCGTTTAAGCGACGGGGATGAAGATGAACAACAAGGGAGTGATGAAGCAGCCATAGGTACTCGCAAACAGGTCGCCATGTCTTCTGCAGAGTGAAGGAATTTTGGTTGCCGGGTTTTGTGTTTGATATTGGAAATGGGTAGGGGTGTCCGTGGGCCGGTTAACCACGTTTCTGTTATCCGGCCCAAAAAAATATACCTAAAATCCGGTAACTCTGATAGTTGATCCGTCCGAATATTAGTCAAATATCCTTAAAAGGGAGATTGAGTTTGTCTCCAAACCCATTACTAGGTTTGAAGCCTGGTCCGAGAGCCCGCCTGCCAAGTCCAGCCCGCCTCCCGTCCACCCTTTTTTTGAAAAAAAATTATACTTTTAGACCATTAAATTTGAAATTTTAAAATAAGTCTTTAATGTCGGAATATGAAATTTTAAAAATTTAAATATTATAAATAATATATTATTTTATTTTTCATATATTAAGCATATCAGTTTTAAAAGGTAAAATAATACAAATGATAAATAAGTGAATAATAGATGTCAACGTAGTTAAAAATATATTCATTTTATTGGTAGTTCATCCTTTAATTAAAAATAAAATTATTTATTATTTTATTTTTATCTATTTTAACTCTATTTTTGATTCAAAAATATGATTTACAAAAATATTAATTATTTTTAAATAAAATTGTATATAAAAAAGTCTGGAGCAGGTCCGCTCAATAAGCTTGCGGATTGGGCTTTAGGTGGGTAAGAGCTTGAGCCTACACTGTCCAGATCAGCTCTGAAAACATTTTGTGAGCCTAGCCCGACTCAACCCATGGACACTCCTAGATATGGAAGGGGTGACAATTTTCGACTCAAAAATTCACACAAATTTTATGACACAATCACCCAATGTGCAACACGAAATATAAATAAATCATATTCGAGTTCAATACGATCAACCTATTTATTTAAGAATTAATATTTTTTTTATTTTATCGTTTGTATGGTAACACGAATAATACAAAATTAAAACTATCAACATATTAAATTAATATTATAAAAATAAATATTAATTATTTATAACTATTTTATTAAGCACTGACATAATTATTGTATAAAAAATATTTTTTACTCATTATTATTATTATTATATTTATTAATTTTATCACAAAATTGGAAGGATTTCAAAAATTATTTGAAGCATAAATGTAAAGAAATAAAACTTGAAGACTTAATCGTGAGATTGAGGATTAATGAAAACAATAGGATCTCCGAAAAGAAAATTAGCAATTATTTCATGGAGTCAGAGACACGTGTGATTGAAGAGGGATATAAAACTAATAAGAAAATGAAGTATGTTGACCAATAAGGGGCCAAAGGCGGTGATTCCAAAAGTTCAAAAATAATTGTTTTGTGTGCAACAAACGTGAACATTGTACAAACGATTGTCGAAGCCGTAAAGCACAAGAGAATAACAAGAGGAAGATTGTTCAAACTAATATAATTAAGGTAGAAAAACTTTCTAAAAACGTTTCTAACATGAGTTTTTCTGTTGAAATATCTGAAGTGAACTTGGTGGGATATACCAAGAAATGGTGGGTGGACACCGAGGCCGCTAGACACATATGTTCGGACAATAAGATGTTCTGTTCATATGAAGCAATTAATGATGGAGGACAACTATTCATGAAAAATTCCTCTACTTCCAAAGTTGAAGGCAAATTAAATGTTATATTGAAGATGATTTATTGAAAAAACTTAATCTCAATGATGTGTTACATGCTACAAAAATTCGAAAGAATTCTGTGTATGAATCATTACTGAGTAAGAAGAGTTTTATGTTGGTTTTTGAATACGATAAATTTGCACTCACTAAAAGTGGGATTTATGTAGGCAACAGATATATGAGTGATAGACTCTTTAAGATGAATATAATGATAATTGTATTTGATTTTAATAATGATAACACACCTTCTGCTTAAATGCTTGAGTCTTCTAATGTATCACATGGTAGACTAAGACATGTTAATTTTGATATTTTGCATAAATTAATGAATTTAGAATTGTTGCCTAAATTCAATATTGATGCAAATTTAAAATGTGAGACATGTGTTGAATCAAAATTAACTAGAGCATCTTTTCATAATATTGAAAGAAGTACTAAACCTCTAGAATTAATTAATTGTGATACATGTGATTTAAAATATATTCAAACTAGAGGTGAAAAAAATATTTTATTACTTTTATTAATGATTGCACAAGATTTTGATATATATATTTGCTAAGAAGTAAAGATGAAGCATTAGAAAAATTTATGCATTATAAGAATGAGGTTAAGAATCAACATGATAAAAAAATTAAAGCAATAAGAAATGATCGAGGTGGTGAATATGACGCACCTTTCGATAGGTTCTATCAAAAACACTATATTATTCACCAAACTTTTGCGCCTTATACACTTCAACAAAATGAGATTGTTGAACATAAAAATAGAATATTGAAATAGATGATGAATATCATGTTAATTAGTTCGGAATTACCTCATAACTTGTAGGGGGAAACTTTGCTTTCAACAAACTATATTTTGAATAAATTAACCACAAGACGTTAGACAAAAACCCCTTATGAATTATGGAAAGGTTGGAGTCCTTCCTACAAATATTTAAAAGTATGGGGTGTTTGGCTAAGATAATGATTCTTATTCCTAAAAGGATTAAAATAGGCTCTAAAACTATTGATCATATATTTATTGGTTATGTAATCAATAGCAGTGCATATCGTTTTTCTCGTGCATAAATATGATATTTTTGATATACATGTTAATACAATCATTGAATTTAGAAATGCATCATTCTTTGAAAATATTTTTCCTTGTAATAATGCATGTGATGACAGTTCTCTTAAAAAAACTCATGATACTACAACTAGTAATTTAAACTATCAGTCTATAGATAAAGAAAGTGAAAAAGCACTTAGACACAGTAAGAGGGCAAGGACTTCCAAGTCCTATGGTCTTGATTTTCTAACATATTTGTTAGAAAATGAGCCTTAAAACTTCAATAAATTGATGTACACTCCTGAAGCATCTATGGAAAGGAGCTGTAAACAGTGAAATTGAATCCATCATACAAAATCACACCTGAAAGTTGGTAGATCTTCCTTTAGGAAGTAAACCATTGGAGTGTAAATGAATTTTTAAGAGGAAAATGAAAACTGATGGATCAATTGATAAGTAAAAGGTTAGATTTGTAGCTAAATATTACAGACAAAAAGAAGGTCTTGATTACTTTGATACATATTCTCTTGTCACAAGAATAACATCTATTCGTATGCTCATAGCTATTACAGTGATGCATAATCTTGAGATACACCAAATGAATGTGAAAACAACTTTCCTAAATGGTGACTTCAATGAGCAAATTTATATGGACCAACCCGAAGGGTTTGTTTCTCCAAGACAAGAGAAAAGGTATGTAGGCTTGTTAAATCACTTTATGATTTAAAGTAAACACCAAAACAACATCATGAGAAATTTGACAAAGTAATGATATAAAATGGTTTTACAATTATTGAATGCGATAAATGTGTCTATGTCAAAAACACAAATAATGAATATGTCATTGTTTATCTATATGTGGATGATATGCTTGTTTTAGGTAGTAATAATAAAATTATTATAGCTACCAAGAAAATATTATCCACTAAGTTTGACATGAAGGATTTGGGTGTTGCATATGTTATACTAGGAATTAAAATTTCTAGAACATCTAGTGGACTTATATTATCTCAATCACATTATATTAAGAAAATACTTGAGAAGTTCGACAAAGATGAAAACAATATTACTAGAATACAAGTTGATATAAATCTTCATTTGTCTAAAAATATTGGCTAAAGCACATCACAATTGGAATACTCTCGTATTATTGACAGTCTAATGTATGTCATGAACTACACTAAACCGGATATGGTATACTTAGTTAGTAAATTGAGTCGATATAAGAGTAATCCGAGAGTAGACTATTGAAAAACAATTATTAGGGTTCTTAGATACTTTAAGATATATCCTGAATTTCATATTGTACTATACAAGATATCCAGTTGTAATTGAATGATATAGCAATGCTAACTGAATATCTGTTATGAAAGATACAAAATCCACAAGTAGTTATGTTTTTACACTTGGTGGTACAGTTGTATCTTTAAAATCCTCTAAGCAAATATGTATTGTCATATCCACGATAGAATCTGAATTTATTGTTTTAGATAAAGCATGAGAGGAAGCTTAACCAATTTCTAAAGGATATTCCAATAGGCCTAAACTTGTGCCAACAATTTTTATACATTGTGATAGTCAATCTGCAATTAGTATGGCCCAGAGTGACATGTATAATAATAAGTCTAGACATATACGTCATAGACATAATACCATTAGACAATTGCTCTAAAATGAGATTATTTCTATTGATTATATAAAATTAAAGGATAATCTAACAGATCTGCTAACCAAAGGTTTGACAAAAGAGCAAATAAATTGCACATCGAGGGGAATGGAGCTAAAGCCTATAACTTAAGAGTCACCTTAATGACAACCCAACCTAGTTGACCGAAGATTCTAAGATCTAGGTTCAAAGGGACAACCAAATTATACATGATTCAAAAGAAGCACTAAGGAGATAATTTCTCTTACTTATTCCTATAATAAACTAGTGCTACTTGCAAAGTTTATTAGGGTAAACTATGTTTTTAATAAATTTTATACCTTGGAAATCCAAGTGAGATATTTTAGGATATTCGTAATAGAAGTCACCTATATGGGTGTGAAGGGGTCGTTTTTGTGAGAATTTATAAAGGCCGAATTCTTTAAAGTACTCATGAAAACTAGGAGTTGTTCAAGGCCAAAATGAACACAATCATTAGAAACAATTGTGTTAGGAAAGAGAATGTGTGAAGTTTATTCAATCTGATTTATCAAATAGCTGAATAGTTCAAGACATCAAATTTACTATTTAGCCGGTAAGTCCGATGAGCTTTCACTAGGAAAGGTTTAAGGTCAAAAGTTACCTATCTTGATGTACAATCTTTCCAAAGATGT